CTCCTCAACTGTCTCCTCTGTGGGCTTGTTTGATTGTTCCTGTTCTGGAATGCCAATAATTCTTATGTTATTCCTCTTCATGTTATCCAACATGAATCTTAGGCCTTCTTCAGATTTTTTATCCATTTTTGTATTTGTTCTTCTAACTTAGTAGTGTTGAGAGGTTTATCTGTAGCTCACTAGTTCTAGCTTCTATCTCTTCAGTTATATTCCTTTGCCCTTTCAATGTATTTTCCATTTCTGATATTCTATTATTAATTGTTTAGACCTCTCTGTAGGTTTTGAATTGTTTCCAATGCTCTATCTGTCTTATTTGATTGTTCCTGTAGCAGTTTCCTGGCTTCTTCCTTATTTTTCTCAACTGCATTGTATAGTGTTTTGATACCTTTTATAATCACTTTTAGGAATTCCTTCTCAGGCATTTCCAAATCCTTCCCATCTTCTAGTATGGAGTGTAGGTCTACTTCCAGCTCATTTGCCTCAGTCACTTTATCTTGTTTCTAGACATGTGCAGATAAGGTCATCTGCTTCTGTTTTTTGCACATCTTTTGGGGTTATCTGTGGACTTAATACTTAGATGGGTGTGTATTTTGGTATTTTTTATGCTTTCTGAGTGCCTCCAGGTAGATGTGATCAGGAAATGGGCTTCCCTTTTCACTCTTCTTCCTGAGAAGTTTCAAGATACGACTGTTGGTCATTTTGATGTAACTTAGGATTTAATTTTCGGCTTATTTCCTCTTTGTCTACTTGTCCTGCTCCACAATCCCCGTTCAGGCCTTTTTTCTAGTTGGAAACAGTTCAGGGCCGGCTGTGGCCATTTGGTTTTAATTGGAAACTTCAAGGAGATCTGTGCACATGCGTAGTAAAACCCTCCGAGGGTGGGGCTGGGGTGCCCACTAGCTCAGGCACCCCTGTAGTCACCAGAATAGAGGTGTGCAGACAGCAAGGGACCAATGAACAAATACCAAAAGAAAAAAATGTCCACACCTTCATCTCAGCGGTTCTGCCAGGCGTCTGGGACTGCCCCGAGACTTCCCCCTCGTGGTCTCACCCAAGATGGCACTCCTGGAGTAGCCGAGCTTCGCAGACTAGAAAGCAATAGATTTCTTGCTTCTGCCCCAAATTCTCCCAGCTGTGAGCCTTCCAACCTTCTAAATATTCCTTTATATGTGGTTCAGAGTTCTGGGACCATCCCCTGAGCCTACTTGGTCGGGTATTCTGTGTTGTTGTTGGCGGAACTCTTTACTACATGTCCAACCGATCCGCCATCTTATTTGTTCTCTCCAGCTCATTTTTTGTGAGAGAAATATAATTTCAGCATGATAGCATTTTTGCCTTTGTAACTCATTTAATAACTACCAATTTTTTGTTTTCTTGTGAATGTGACTTATAATAGATTTGAGTATACCTGCCAATCTTGACTCCTCTGAAAAGTAAGAGGAATTCCTAGAGAAATGCATATTGAAGTATGTTATATCTGTTGTGCCTTACATTTTGCCCTTTGTTTTCTTTTCAGATCATCAGGATTAGGAAATGATATGTTGTTGTTAAGTACCATAGAGTCAGTTGTGACCGATAGTGATCCTGCACAGGGTTTCCGAGGCTGTAAATCTTTACGGGAGTAGAAAGCCTCATCTTTCTCCCACGGAACAGCTAGTAGTTTCGAACTGCCGACCTTGAGCTTAGCAGCCCGATTCATAGCCACTGCACAACCAGAGCTCCTTAGGAAATTATATAACAATATGTAGTTGTTTATTTTAAGGTCAAGCATGAATTCGTAAAGTCATAGTTTAAGTTTTCTTTTCATACTTTGAAATATTTATTACTTTTTAGATATATCCAAATTTTATAAGTATCTTAGTTGCTAAGTGTTATTTATATATGTATGTGGATTACTTGTGTGGTGCTGTAGCATAAACACTGGATTGCAGATTGGTTTGAACTGCAAGGTCGGCAGTTCAGACTCACTAGCTGCTTCTCAGAAACCCCTAAACAGGGCCGCTTATGAGTTGGAACCAACTCGATGGCACTTAAGAACAATTATATATATATATCAAGTATAACAATAATTGTGAGGATGGTGCAGAATCAGGAAGTGTTTCATTCTGTTGTGCATAGGGTTACTATGAGTCGGAATCAACTTCATGGCACCTAACAACAACCTATTTTGCTGTTGTTGTTAAGTGCTGTTGAGTTCGTTCGGACTCATAGAGACCCTATAGATAATATAAACATATACATCTATACATTTTTATGTATTATTGAACTCTAGTAGCGTAGTGGTTATGAGTCGGGCTGCTACCCTTAAGGTTAGCAGTTTGAAACTACCAGCTGTTCTGTGGGAGAAAGATGAGGCTTACTGCTCCTATAAAGATTTACAGCCTCAGAAACCCTATATAGGGTTGCTGTGAGTTGAAACCAACTCCATGACACACCACCACATGTAACTGTTATTGTTGTTGTTAAGTGCCATCAAGTCCATTCTGACTCATAATGACCTTGTTTAGGGTTTCCAAGGAGCAGCTAGTGGCTTTGAACTAAGACCATATGGTTCACAGTCCATTGCTGATCCTATAGCACTACACCAAGAGTATATACACACACACACACACACACACACGAGGGTGAGTCAAAAATTATTCTCACTCCAGTTATATTAAAATGCCTGTTCTCAGTTGATGACAGCATTGAGCATAAATGTGAAATGATTCTGTCAAATAGACGAGTGACAGTGGATTATGTGGCAAATCATTTGCAAATCAGCCATGGCTCTGCCTATGAAATAATCCACAATGTACTTGGGCTTTGAAAAGTTTGCGTGAGATGGGTTCTGAAATAATTCACAGAAGAGCATGAACAGAAGCACTTGGATATCTGCAAACAAAATTTGGACCAATACTTGAAGGAAGGTAAAAGTTTCTTTAAAAAATCATTACTGGTGACAAGACATGAATTCATGATTACGAGCCTGAGAGTAAATGGCAGAGTATGGAATGGAAACATTCTCAA